TATTATTCTTGTCAATTTTCATTTCATGGTATATTATAGGGATCATATAAAATCTTTCTCAAAACATCTTCGTCATAGCATGCAATGATCTGTATAATGTAATTCCACTGCATTTATGAAAAACAGCTCAAAAGTACACTTAAATTTCTGGATTACAACAAATACTTTTGTATGTTTTTCATTTCATTATCAGAACAGTATACTCTACGGCATACAAGGTGGTGACCAGATTAACACCTTACTCACATTTCTACCCAGAATGCTGTCCAGGTTGGAAAAGGTTTCATTCCCACAACTGTAATCAAGGTAATTATAAAAATGAATTCTAGCATTTTCAAATATGTACATGTCTGTAAATAGTCTATATCTTTTACAGCTTTGTGTGCACAAAATTGCATGAATGGTGGTACGTGTTATAAACCCAACCACTGTGCCTGTCCATTGGGTTGGAGAGGCTACCAGTGTCAAACAGGTAATACACGTAAATGTTCGTTCCAAATATCACTAGGCACTACACTGAAATTGTTTCTGCCATATTCACAATGAAACAGCTTACTTATTCAATATTATGGAAGCATTAGAGAAAGAATAAGTGAGTATAAAGAGTACATTTGATTGGGCATGTAACAGTATAACCATGTTTATTTTTCATTATACCATGGCCTGTTGTGCATCATGATGTTTAACAACTCTGTGTTGTGCTTTAAAACTGCATAATGCATGGCTCCTTGTTGTTTAATACTTACTAATACCATGTGTGGTATGAATGTTCTTGCTAAGAACAGATGATTATATGCAGTCTCAAAGAAGAAGAAACTGCATTGTGTACCATACATGTGTGTACATAGCAAGCGGGTGGGGCGACATTCTCCAGTGACACCATGGTGATCAGTCTTTATTCCCCACATGCATCAGTTAACTGCTGTTAACTGTAGCTGTTCCTTCGTGGACCACCATTCATAACTACACACTGAGAACATTCCATAACACATAGGTGTGGTACTTCTTTTACCAAGCTCTCACTACTTATCTGCAATCACCAAATAATTACTGTCCATACACAACCACCAATAGGACAGGTGTGTGTCCGCCACTCTCTTACAGTGTGTGCTGTGTTGCAGATGTGAATGAGTGCAGTGAACAGCGGCCCTGTGCTCACAAGTGCGTGAACACCGCGGGCAGCTATCGGTGTGAGTGCAGAGACGGATTCAGGTTGATAGGAGACGGCCGTTCCTGTCAAAGCCTTCCTCCTCTTCCTCCTCCTCTTCCTCCATCTCCCTCCCAGCCTGCTGTGGGTGGTCACTCTCATACGGGTAAACATGCATATTGCAGAAGATTATGCTGTGATGATGTTTGATACTTTTCAGCAAAGAAGACAGAAAAGTGACCAGGTTTGCGGCTCATTATTACTTTTGGTACGCGCTATGCCACTCTCAACTCGTACCGTGAGTAATAATGCACTGCGACTGGTTCAAAACATCAATGTTCAATGTTACTAAAATGGGCATTTGTGTGTCCAAGCAACATTACACTGAGTAAAAAAAAACTGCCATCTGATCACATAGTTCTATAAGTCAATATGAAGTTCATTATAACATTTATTACTAGTAGCATTAAAGACCCCTGTACCTGAATGTGGTTCACGTTTCACAGTTAGCTCCATGCACTTTGCCCCTTTGCTCACTCTGGTGTTGAACTATAACAGAGAAATATATCTGTTCATTACATTACTAGACCAAATACAGATTAAATATGAGGGGATTTTAGGTGTGAATAAGTATTATAGAAGAAGCAGTCCTGAAGTCTATACCTGTAATTTGTGGATTTAAGGGGGGGGGGGTTGCACAATGTCAATGCATGCTTTTCTAAAAATACTGTCTTTGAGTAGTCTGGAAAGAGAAACTGTAGGGAGTTTTACTGAGTTTAACAAATGAATACTGTACTATACAGCATATTTCAGCATAGATCTAATACCAGGTTGCTGCTCCTTTAAATTACATTTTTTTATGTTACAAAAGATACATTATGTGTCTCAGCACATACAGTTGTACCAAAGAAACCTCTGGAACCAGCATTTCTCAGATTTAGGGAGAGTGTTTTGCTAAGTTCAGACTACATTCCATTATGTGTTTCATATGCAGACATCAGAGACTACAAACTAACACATGCTTGAGATGGCCCGAGAACTGTGTGTGCATGACCGCCCTGAACTGTCACGGACTACATTTTTGACTCTCAGATTTCTGCATGTTTCTTTCTTTTCTTGGCCGTCTAATAAGTCTAGGTTTATCAACTCTGCGGGGGATCATCGACAGCTCCCCCTCTGTTCCTCCTTCTATTTCACCTCAATCTGTTTCTCAACATGTCCATGTAACAAATCACATCTGGGAAAAATGTGCTCACAATTTTGTTTAAGTATGTTGGAATAAGATAATGTAATTAAATGTATATTATTTTCAGTTATAAATTTGTTCATTTGGATTTGGGGGTTGTTTTTGCTTGTGCGTTCTACAGATGAAAGACTTAACCTGGTGGAAAATGTTACAGAAGAAGTACAAAATCTTAGAAACAGAGTGGAGCTTTTAGAAAAGGTAATGTTATTTTCTAAAATGGCACCTACAACTGAAGAATATGTTTTGATTTTTAAAATTATATAAATATTTTTGCAGACTCTACAGATGGTACTGACCCCCTACAACAGTATCTTCCCACTGTCTGCAGAAGAGGGCTCGTCAGGGAAAACCACATTATTGTCATACTCATTTCAGCAACTTGATCGCATTGACTCTTTGAGTGAGCAGATTGGCTTCCTGGAGGAGAGACTCGGTACATGTAAGCAACCTACATTTTTCAGTGAGCCCAAATGATCACTACATTACATTCATTTACTAATAATTTAATAGTATCAATATTACAATTATACAGTTACATTTGCTTGAGTAATATTGGTATACATAAAACATGCAAGTAAGTATAGCTGGCCATTTCAGGGCCTAACTAAAACAAGAACATCTATATCCTATAAAGTATGTTTTTTCCTTCAGGTTCCTGCCAGGAGGACCAACGAACCTCTCCAATCAAGTGAAGATGATCTCTGTTTGTCATCAATGCAATAAATAATCAATACAACTTGTGATACACTTTGTAATCAACATTACATCTAGGACCACTGATCTCTGCTTCTAAAACAGTACTTATAGATGGAGGTCAAACAAACCACTGTGTTTTCAATGTCATTGGTACAGCTGTGTTTACTTTTAGGCACTAAAATGTCCAGGGGAGACGGAGGCACCTGTTTTATCTATTTAAATTATGATTACCTGTAGTTACTACTCATTGCACCAACTTTTGTACCTATTTTTGTGATACATTTTGTAATAAAATCATCAATCAGACATGATCTTTATATTCCTATTTGTATAGATAGAATATCTCATATTATAACATTTCACCAGCAAGGACCACAGCAACATTATGCAGTGGAGATATTTATTGATGACTGATGAGATGAATGAGGTAGAGGTGGCTGGGTTGAGACTCGGGATGGGGGCTCTATCTCAATCAACTGGCCCAGCTGGTACAGGACCCTCCTTCACAGATGTCTTATAGCTGAGACAAACTGAGTTGATGGGATAGGCTGCTACATATAGGCTTCTAGGAAATTAGAGGTTTGGTCAAGGTGAGCTGTGTTTCGCTGGAGAGGAGAGGGAGGTTGAGGTGTGGTCCTGCTCCTGAATCTCAGTCAGTCATATTAACTCCACTTCTGTCCGTATTCCACGTGGGGTAAAATGCAAATATGGTTGCATATATAAAATAGACTGACGAATAATAGATAGGTACTTTATTAACAACCTGGAAGAAAGCAGAACATATTTAGAAATTCATTTTATTGTTACATATTCCTTAGCAAGGCATTCATGTTTACCTAGTATAGGTGAACCTAAGAACGTCGATAAGAATCAGATACTATATAGGCAACGGGCACAGACCATGTGTGCACCTATGGGACCACACACATACAGGGCTCAGCAGGATGTCAGATCTGTTTTTAATATTCCTGTAAAGCTATCACCTGTTAGTCTTTTATAGCTTTGGTGAACATTTTCCACCCTCACTGAGCAGAGAAAATTCTCTATTAAACTTCAGAATAATTTAAAATTGTCACCGTGTGTTCTATTTAACAAAGTGCCCAAACCAGCAGGACGAAGCAGGAGCCACCCGTTTGAACTATGAACAATGTACAAATAACCACACACTTGTATTACAAATCAATGCATAAAGATAAGAAAATAAAGCAATATACACTCCAATCAAAAAACAAATTTATGGTTAGATATAAATTCACCAAGATAGCATTTGGTAGACCTTTCACATTCACACAAAAAAATTGCCAGACAAAATCCAAATAAATATAATAATAAAATTAATGAAATGTTTTTATAGTTACTGGCCTGATTAAGCCAAGATTAAAGCAAAGGGCTAAAGATTCTCGCTTCTGGCACACGGCAGAACTAAGCAGTCAAATGTAGATATATCAGGATCATAAATAAGTAATTTGAGTAGAATGAATATATGGTTAATTGTAACTATTGCAAACATGGGCAACAAGAGATGTCTATCTGTAATGTTAATTAAGTCCATTTAACAATCTAAAGCCAGAATACATGATGCTAAAGTTTCTAGAGTAGAGTTCTAGAGTACAGTAATATCCCATATGTAATTACATTCTTGTATGGATTTTGGGCAAAACAAGGAGGTCAGTGACACTATGCAAAAAAATGAAGGCAGTCAAATAAAACATGACCCATAAGAGTAGCAGTTAAATCTCTTTAAAATAACTTTGTCTGTAAATAATGCAAATTATCAAGAACAGAAAACATAAAAGTGCTACAAAAACCAATCAGTCTTAAGGCCAAAATTTCTACATCAAGTCGTTCCAATACTTTAAGATAAGATCATTCACATTTCATTAAAATACATGAGTATTATTAGTTCTTTGCTGTTAGTTTACCTGTTCAATAATAACTGAAAAAGGGAAATCATTATGCACATGTATACAGGTAACCCTCCTAATGCAGACGTAGGAAATGATGTCAGTCAGTAGAATAATAAAGAATATCATAGTACAATTTTAATGATGAGTTATGTTTCTAAGCATTGTGTCCTTCAAAACACTATCATGGCACAGCAGAAAACTTGCACTTTGGAAAAGTACTGCTAAAACAAAGACATTGCACTTCCTTTTTGACACTTCTGGAGTAGATTAATTTGGAATTTCTGACAATATTTAATAAAAAAGAACAAAAAATAAATATAACAAATATACATAATACGGAGCTGTTTCACATAACTACAAGGAAGGTTATTTGTGAGCTTTAGATACGACAGTATGAATGAATGCACATTGAAACACCAATAATACACATCACTGAAATGTTCATGAAATCAGTACAGATGGAGGCCACAATCTTCCTCAAATTTCATAGTTATCTCCCAACTATTTATCAAAAAGTAAAAAGCAAAGCTAAAATGGAGACGTGGGCCAAGAATAAACACTTTGCTCATTGAGGAAATGCAAACAGGACCAGCAGTCCAACACAAATAATACAGTGAAGTAAGGCGATGTGATATTATGTAAATTTGTGCATATCAGCATCGAAATAAAACTTAAATTAATCAGCATGAGAAGAACAAAAATAGCAATTAATTGTAAAACAGAAGACGCAAAGGCATTATAGACAAGGCCCAGAAAGAGTCAATGTAAGACAATAAATCAAAGATGAAGGGTGGATGAAGCAATCCAAAAGGCATGCTTAATGATGAACACATATCCGCATAGTTCGGCTTGCTGTCCGTCACTCCTCACAGCGCACAGGGCAATGCTGCTGAGGGTCAGGACCAACTGTGCTGTGGCGCACTGGGCCGGGTGTCTACTGGACTCATGACAGGAACTCTCCATCATGTTTGTCCAAATATGAAGACAACCTGGGGCTGCAGGGGCGTCAGTGGGATAAAGGCGAGTACACCAGAAGGAGGAAGGGACAATGAGAATGTTCAGTGACTCATGGGCCCGTTGCTCTGTGATACGGAGGGAGAGATTTCCAGAAAAGCAGAGCGCATCACATTGAAGGATTTGTCACACAAATCTGACACGTTGTCTGATGTCAGGCCCTTTGTCTCAATCTTAGGAAGAATCTTCAATCGGATGGTTCCTGTTGATTAAAAAATGTATCTCAGAGGTTGAATTTGATCAAAACCTATGTTTTGTGTCCTTCTAAAATGGATATATACACAGAAAGAAAAATTACTTTTAAGAAAATAAAGAAAAGGTTTGTCATGAGTCACCTGATTTGAACTGCTTTTCTTTCCGTAGATAAAAATTGCCGTACGAAGAGAACACCACAGGTATGAGAGGTACCTGGAGAACAATGACAGCAGAAAAGAATGTAAACCATGCTTTTGACTTCGAATGTTTATAATCACAAATGATAATATTACAGTGACCTCTGTCAAGAGACCCTCATTGTTTAGGTGAATGGAAAATGTGTATTGACATTTGCAATCATTTATTAAACAGATTTGACTTGTTCTGCCATATCCTAATTTAATAAAACACACAAATTAAACTGTGCAGTGTGTCATGGCAACAGGACCTAAGGCACAGACTGAATCTATCCTCAAAACAAACTTTCAAAAATGAGTGTGACAAAAGCAGGTTTAATCTTATTTGCTGTTGATAGACGTCTAGTGGCTCTCCCGAGGCCTGAGTGGCTGTTCAATTGACGAGCCAAGCCAAACGTGCCTCCCCCTTGGGGGTTGTCCTGCTTCTGCTCAGTCTGAAGCAGGTTTAAAGAAGCAGGTTTAACTCCTACACAATGAACACGCACTCTAACAAACTTGTGTTAATACGCTAACAGGTAAAATAACATTTTGTCCTGACTGGAGACAACAAATAACCTCATACCATACACACCATAACACACATTTCACTGCTACTAACAAAAGTGCTTAAATATTTAGATTTATTTTTGACAAACACAAAACATTTATTTTACACAAACAGGTTTAAAGTCCCTTTATGGATAATTACGCCCAGATGTTATTTTATTACCTTTTATCACATATACGGTCTAGTACTTTAAACTGATTTAATTACACCCACCAACATTAGCCTGAACAATGTTTTGGTTTATAGAAAGGCTTTTCCAATCAAAATGTTGATGTCTTCCACCTGGGCTTTGGAACACAAGATACTTTAAGATATTTTAAGATAAAGATAAAGATAAAAGATTAAGATTAAGATAAAGTAACAAAGAACAAAACATTATTTTAAATAAATCACAGTAGTATTTAAAAAAGGTTGAACTGAATGTTATATAAATTTTTTTGTGTGTGTTTTTAGAGTGGTTTCTGGCGCCCTCTTCTGTCTCCAAAAGTACTACTACTTCTAAAATTAAGACACCCTTTCCTGTTGTAAAGATCAATCAGGATCCGAAATAAACAAATACAATAAATAAAAATGAAAACATTTTATGCTGCAGATTGAGAATGATTCATAAATTGGAATCAGACTTGCCTGTGCCTGCACTGCTAGGTGAAAGGCTCCCTTTTTGAATGGCAAAAGATCTCCATTCTGGTTCCTTGTACCTTCTGGAAACACCCAAAGACGAATCTATAGGACAAAGTGATTGGAAAAGAGTGTAAACTTATGTAAAGCCTAATTGCCATTTAGGTTTGTCACTGCTACAGCCTTATTTTAATTACAAACAGGAGGACCATATCTAGATATGAGATGCACATACCTGATCTTCCAACATTGTCTTGGCTGCATCTGCCATGACACTTTTGGCATCACTCGTCTTTTTGCGGTTGATGAAGACGATACCACCAAGCCAGCAGACCAGCCCGACAGTTCCAGCATAGATGAGTTCCTTTTTTGCAATCATAGTGCAGCGATCAGGTAAGATCTCCATCAAGCCTAGGAAAACCAAGTATATTTATGAATGCTTTATTGATCATGACAAGACTAACACACAAGACTAACAAATAAAGCTCTAGACTGGTTAGCAGATGAGGTTGAAAACTTTTGTATGTGTGTAATGTAAATCGAAGTATGCAGCAATCTATATGCAAAAATACACAGTCTCAATCCAACCCAGCTGAGCCATTTCCACATCAGCTGTAGGGTAGCAGCTACAAACGGCTGGGCATAGCAGTCGGCATAGCAACTTCCAACACCCAATCAGACTCATGTGGAGTTTTCTACTGCTAATTAGATGCCCAGCTCTTCTTCTGCTGTCAGTGCCTTGGCCTTGAGTTTACCCAAATCATCACTGGCTCAGAAAACCGTGCACTATTTCACTGCCCCCTTCCATACAAAGAAGTCAACAAAAATTACAACATCAAAGGGTGTGCATGTTGAATAAAGCAAACCAGAGAGTCCACCAGAGGCTACAAAACTAAGTAACTCATTAAGGTCAGCACTTTCTGTTTAGGCCTCTGCTGTGTAAAGACATCCTCCTGTAACACAATGTCAGTGACCTCATTCGGGTCAGCAGTGGTGCTCTCATTAGAACTCTCTAAGAAGTGCCATTCATGGTACTGACTGGAGCATCCTTTCCTATTATTTGGGTGGAAACCTTGTCACATGCCATATTAAAAAAGAGAATATAGAGTTTTATGGATGGAATGGCAATAACACCCTTCATTAGACCTACCCAATACATCCAAAGAGCTCTGGTGGTTGGAGATGATGACATAGGGTCCCTCTGTCTGCAGATGTTCCCAGCCGCTCACTTCGAAACGTAAACCCAGGAAATACTTTACATGTCGGACCAGGAAGCGGATGATCCTGGGGGAGATAATTATAGTTACTTTCACAAAATATTTCAATACATGTTTTGAGCAAAGACAAGTGACTATGAAGCTACTGAAAGGACTTCTAAAAATAGATTTCATTTGTGAAAAATGGATCTAGGCAATGTTAGTATTTGGAGCTTGTGGTTATTTCTAATATTATGATGCTCTAATAAGCTTTCAGACTAACTATCTGCACTTCAGCTCATGGTGAAAACTGTTTTTAAGCAAATAATGTTACGTGTTCCTATTAGGTATAAATGAAAATGTAATCAGGTATATAAAAATGATTTAACTCAAAGAAATAAAGCTTTCAAGACAAGATAAGATAAGGCTATAAAGATACTGACATCACCAGTTGGATCTCCTCAGTGGAACATTGACCTCAGATGGCTGTTACTTGCTTTGTTCTTTAAATCTTGACTTCATAAATAATATTATATAACATGGAATGGCTAAACAGTTAAGGCTCCTTTATTTTGCAATAAAAACAAACATTATTATTTCGAATATATTCAATACTAGTGACATGTTTCAATTGCTTACACATTCTTGAACTGATAATGCTGAGTTCATACAACAATAACCTTTACACCAAAAGAACTATCTACGTTATCTTTAAACACACCAGTGAAATGATAACATAGTCAACCTAGTACAAAAGCCACTAGTTATGCAACATCCCAGCCAGTGTTGCAGCACTTCCATCATTGTTGGTGAGGGAATAAGTTTGGTATGTTAGTATCATTTGTTGAAATTCTATTCACCCATTATAATGGTGGAAGTGGCCCCCTCTCAAGCACTTTGTAATGGTCAACAAGTCCAGATAACCTTTGCGCTGACAGATTAGTCCACAGGTGCAACATGACACCTCCACAATGGGTAAGGTGACCATGGGATAGTTATTTCTAGTGCAGTGGGGAAATCAGTTTGGATGTAATGTACTGAAGAAATAAACATGAGATATTCTCCTTTTTCTCTTAAACATGAAATTATCTTAACATAACTTGTAATGTCGTGTGTTTGCAAACAAGCATTTAAAATGAGTCAAATATCTATTGCTGTAATAAGCATAAAAACTCCACCTAATGTAGAAAACAAGCACTAAATGGTCAACAAACCAGTTCAAAACGTCATCAGTGAAGAAAATTATGAGTTTATGATACGAGCTAATGATATGAGTTCATGTCGTTACACCTGCTCTGACAAAGCACTGGGCACAGAAATTCCACACTTTTTAATGAACTTTATGGACTAATTTGGGTGTTCTGTATGTTTTTTTTTTTTTTGTTTTTTTTTGTATTCAGTTTTTCTTTTAAACCGTGAACCGAAATAAAGAATACTATTAATACATAATGATAGTGTCTACCCGATCAAGATGCTGTAGCCTGCAGCCTACTGTTCAGAGTTACACCAATATAAACATAAAAAAGTACTTAAAGTTGAGTAGACATGTTTACCAACTGCAAGCACATGTCGACCAAACCTTCCTTTGACTCAAAATTGTAATTACAGCTGGCATGACTGGTGTCGTGACTTCACTTACCAGATATATAACCCATGTGTTAAATTAGCAGCCCGCGATAAACTTGTGTAACGTTATGGAGAAGGGGGCTAATGTTAGCATGTGTATGTATTAAAAATGCATTCACATACTGTCCACTTTATAATTAATGTAAGCTTGTTGAGATATCACGGCAACATTATACGCGTTACAGCCAATACTATAATCAAGTAGCAACATGGTTTTAAATATTTGTTAGCTTGCTAGCAGTGGTGGCTAGTTGTCAGATGGCGCTATGAGCTGTATTATGCACGCAAACTCACCTCATATTTTCAATGTCTCTTCCCCCGCTTTTCAGTATGCACAGGGGGATAGCCAAGAGAGCCAAACACATCATCCATGCAACGTAGAAAAACTTTTTAAAATAAAAAACAAATGTGCTGCTGGTCCACATCAACAGTGGGATCAGCAGCAGGGGCAACATCCATAGCACATCCATAGCGCTCCAGTGAAAGTCAGGGGCAGCGGCGACACAAACACACGCTGAATACGCGGACACTGCTCAGCCACACACCCCGGCTACGGTGCAAAAAAAACGGCCAACGCGAGCATTACAGTCCCGGGGATAAAACCAGACAACGTGGTATTTTCTCAGAGGCAGTCCCAAACGAACATGTAGCGTTATGTCCCGCTGCTCATCTGTTGCTAAATGGCATCATGAGGTGGAGTCATGTCGTCACCAGCTTTCCCCTTTCATTTCCGGATAGGCAACCACAACTGGACAGCGCAGATTTATTTTATTTATGTATTTATTTCTGTTTAATGGTAACCATTGAACTGCTAATTACTGCTTAGCCGCTTAAAAAGCTCAGCTATGACAGGTCTAATTGGATTTGGTGATCCCACTCACCTAATCTGTTTTAGTTACAGTGTTGCTCTTTTCATAACTAATAACTACCATAAGTATTATTATTTAGATTTTTAAATTATTATTATTTTTATTTTATAAATTATTACTAGAAGGAGGAGGAGGTATTTATTTATTTACTCATTTATTTATTCATTCATTTATTATTATTATTATTATTATTATTATTATTATTATTATTATTATTATTATTATTATTATTATTATTATTGACTTGCTTCTTCCCATCTGCAGTCCCCGGGCAAACTACATGGTCTGCAACCAGACACATTATTGCACACTATCGGAAGAATTAATTCGACTTGCATTATTGCTCATATAAATAAAGCAAAAAAAAAAAAAAAAAGAAAAAAAAAGAAAATATTCTAATTTAAATGAATATGTGCAAACAGTTTGCATGTAAAGTCCACAAGATGGCAGTACTCCCAAAAGTACTGAATAAAGTATATCTTGTAGGTCTATACTGTCCTTAAAGTCGAGAGCTTTCTGCTACAATATTCTACAATAAAAATATATATTTCACTTTAAACAAACCATAAACCATAGGCTACGGTTGACGGCAGTTAGAAAGAGCCGCGCTGCCTTCTGCCAGTGGTTTCTGCCCAGCGGTTGAATAGAGCCTATCTCGTGGGGGTATTCAGTGAAACATCTGCCATGGGGTGGTGACCTTTTTGAACCTCCCACCACGACCACCACCCCCATGTTACTCCGGCATTCAAACAACATTTGAAAGCAGAGCAGGGCCCCTCGCCTCGTTGGTCAGTTCAGATACACCAAATAGATAGCGAGTGCAAGTAAAAGCTTTATTGGACGGGCCTGCAGTGTCTGTGACACCCCCCGCCGAGCTTTTCTTCTGTAGGCCGGGCTGACGACAGTGAGCGCGCTAGAGCAGCTGTCAGTGAGGCGAAAGGGGTGCGCGCAACGCTGTCCTGTTTGAAGATTATGCAGCAGCTCATAGCCATCTTGTATCAGACACGATGATGAAACGGTAGAAGTCAACGGGGACAGGAGTATTTACGGTGGCTGACAGGCAAAGAGCCCATAAAGTAACGCTGTACGGAGCTCTGAAGACGATAGAAAATCACATCTGCTTTGGTGGGTTTGGACAAGAATCTCACGAGTAGTGGATTATCCCAGGAACATCGGACTGAAACCATGAGCTGGGGGACAGAGCTATGGGTGAGCATTGTTGCACATGTGTGTCATTTACCTACAAATAGACTTAAATGGATTTGATCGGTTCCCAGGCAAAAAACCCCAAAACAAAACCCAAAAACAAACGGAGGGTGAATTATGGCCGCTAATGCAGCCGCCCAGGCTCTCTCTGTTCTTGTGAAGCTAGCAAACCTAAGGCTAATTTGCCAGTGTTGATTGACTGAATTATTTTACTTTTGCCTTTGGCAGAGGAGAAGTAACGTGTTATTACAATGGACAGCAGCATCACATACATGTTATCTGACATCTAAGCTTTTCAAATCGTGCTTAGCACACACCCCCTTATAACACACAGCCTCGCCGTGATGTCCATCTGTATGGTGGGATTAAGAGTTTTTGGTTGGCTGTCACACTTGTTTCCCGATGATAGCACATGTCGATTCTTACACTGCACCGCGCTGCATGCTTACAAGGGGAAATACTGGGGTATTAGTTCCTGGTATTTTATTTGGCCTAAAACAAAAGCACACTCAAATGATAGATTCCTCCGCCATGATGTCACCTTTCTGGTTGTTTTATTACAACCTGGTATGCCTGACAGTGGTGACACATCCTAGAGAGCCCTGATGAACCAGAGTCAAACATAGTCTTCTTCTATATAGTCTATATAGTATAGAGAAATTGCAGAGTAGTGTCATTCTAGCTTTACAACCTGTTAATAGGCAGTTGTATGACTCTTGTATTGTCATTTGTACATTTTTGGCCCTCTGTGGCACTGTTGACATTGAGCTATGAATCTGTTTTTTCACCCACTGGGAATAATTGTAACTTGTTCAGATTATTTATTTTACCATATTCAAACATACATATTCAAAAGTATTAAAAAGGATCTGTAAACCAATCACGTTTTATTATTTCTAACAGTGCTGGTTTGAGGCAAGATGAAAATGATAAACATTACTTTAATTTTTTCACATATTAAGAGTCTCATAATAGTTCTTACTTTACAGTAGTTCTTACAGCATTATTTTACTGTAATATACCTAGTAAAATTGCTCCCGAGGTCTTAGTCTTTTGGAGTCACTCAAAACTTACTTAGTCGAGGGTGCCTCTGAAAAACACTGGCAGTTTTCAGTGTAGCTTATAATAACCAGATGCTTTGGAGTGATCGAGGCACGTGTCTTTTCATGCAAGAGTGATACAGTGACACAGTGATGCAAAGAGATTATTTTACCTGCACTGTAATAACTCTTTGCCACTATAAATTCATTAAGTTATTGGCAATTTTAGATTCACATATATTTATTCTTCTATTATTATTCTTTTAACTGTCACCATGTGATTGCAAAACAACAAAATCATATCATCCTCGATTATCATCGTCCATCCTGTTTTGTGCACAGGAAATGAAGTCAAAGACAATTTCTGAATGCTGAATGCATAAAATATAGCTACACTACAGTTTAACTTTGAAGAATATACAATTTCCAAATCAGTATGTATGGTTGCCTCTAACTGCTTGCATTGAGTTCGTCCAAAAAGGATGAGTAGTGTAACATAATGTTTTTTTCTGTTCTCCTTGCCAGTCTGGTGTTGTGCTCATTCATGTGTTGCTTTGACAAGAAACCATCAGCACTGATGCTTTGAATGTGGTTTACAAATGTGCCATATTTATTGCAACAGTTGTTAAATAATAAAGCCAGTCTCTCCTATTTATTATTTTCAAACTTGTCCTGCTATGTTCTGCCAGTTGTGGGAAGTCCCATATCATGATGAAACATGTGACTGTTTCTCTGAGGAACTAGGGACTGAAAAATTAAATGATAAAATTATAAGTAAGTCCTAAGTCCAAAGGAGGTAAATTATCAAATAAAATTGTCTAAATCAGGTTAACTGAGCTTAAACGGAAGTAGAAAGCTGTAACCACAGCATCTTCAAAGTATTTCCGTTTGGGGCTCGTGTCACCAGTATAGGCCAATAGTTGAAAGTGAGGTGCCATTATGAGAGCCAGTGGCATGCAAGTTGAATTGGACAGCTGGTTGGTTGGTCCCCCCACACACTACATTGAAACTTTAAATAGAGTTTTACTTGATATGTGTAAGGGGCTATTTCACTTTTCCATTTGACACACATCAACATCTTTCAGTTCTCTGATGTGCTGAATATGTAAGGTGGACACATGATAGTTTGTGTAGTTCCTCATTGTAAGGATTATCGCACACTGTTTTTACTGAGATCATCATGGAGAAAGTTGAGACACTTGTAAAGGAGCAACAGCTTAAGGTAGACATTTTCTTCTAACCTAGGAACATCAATGAATTTAACATGTTTGATATCTTATAATATTATGTTGGAAGAAGATACTTATTTATATTTTAGTTGTATTTTTGCTTTGTCTTTTTGACTGCTCAATAGTTTGTTGTAACACTGAACACATTAATGCAACTTTTGCTCATGGCTTTCAGGCTACATGTTTTGTTACATGAAATTGCAAGCTTTTATACGGCCCCAGTTAATTAATTCCTGATTCTTATATTAATGTCAATCTTGGACAATTGTAATGTTTTATGGCCAAAGAGATTTCTATTATTTGATTGTGCTCACTACTCTCTTCATGTTATTATAATGTCTCAAACTTTCCCAGAGGCACAGAAGTAGCACCAGTCAAAGTTTGAGTTCTTCTTGTGTGGATGTCAGTCACGTACTGAGACCAGTGAGATTTGGGAACAAATGTGTGGAACAGTTACAATGAGCTCAATGGTTTTAGACTGAATTTCCTCCTCTAATGTCCTCCTCTATCTCAGACTGTTCTCAGGCTCAACTCCAGGGAGATACAGTACTTTCAAGACCGAAACCTGAGATAGTCTGTTTCCTTTTCTATGGGCTGGTGGGGTCATAAGACATATGTACCCCTCTTTAACTCTTTCAGCACTAGCCACCTGCTTTCATGTGGTAGACATGCTAGTTATGTAGCTTGATGCTAATTTTACAACTTTTGTTTTAATAAAAAATGTAGAATGTGGTAACAAATTTTGACATTTGACAAATTTCATGTTGAAGTACCATTACAATTGTGGTGCCTTTTTTGACCTTGTCTTTAGACTGGTATAGGATCATTAGTTTGGTGAGGAAAATGCAAAATATTGTATCTATGAGGATCTGTTTCCTGCTGACATGAGACATATGAGTATGCATTGCCTGAATTCCTGTCCATAAGAAGGTGACTCAATCCTTCCCACTCTAACTTATAATCTCTAGCCTCTCTGTGGCCTCTTGTTATTTGTAAAGTCAACCTTAAATCTCTGCTGTGGCATGGGAAATCTGAGGCCAGTCTTTCTGACTTATCATCATTGAGTCCTGGTCTAATTATTGCCGTGTTGTACTACACATTGTAAGTGCTGCTTGTTCTTTATTAAGTGACAGATATACAGTTCCTCTGTAGCAGCTAATGGAGTAGTGCTGTTCTGCATAAGGGCATTTTAAAGGTGGAGGACGCGGAAGGTCAGATTCACATTTAAAATACACTGAGTATACTGTTCAGCCTATATTCTTTAACCACAGAATGAAAATCACTCAAATGAGATGTGCAGTTGTTTTCTCCTTATAGTTCTTTATTTGTATATCTTAATGAATAGACA